CAGTTTTCCTCTTTGCTTAGCTAGTAACTTGCCTGTGAGCCTGGGCTGATCTGAGAAACAATGTGATGAGAGAATGAACAGAGGTGCACCTGGGGCAGTTCCCTAATAAAACTGGTTTGTACAGTCAAAAAGAGAGAGAGAGAGAGAGAGAGAGAGAGGGAGAGAGATGGGGTCTTGCTATGTTTCCCAGGCTGGAGTGCAGTGACTATTTATGGGCATGATCTTAGCACACTACAGCCTTGAACTCCTGAGCTGAAGGGATGCTCAAGTCTCAGCTTCCCGAATAGCTGAGACTACAGGTGTGCGCCACTGTGCCTGGCAGATAGAGTCTTTGTGTGGGTCTGGCCCATCCACTGACCTGGTCAAACCCTGAGTTTTCACCCTTGGCTCTGGCTGTCTGGGCAGCCACTGCGGAGTTTCCATACCCTTGAGTCAGTAGAGCAGAACAGCCTGGTTCTGCTTCAAGGGCACCTGGATCAATGCCTCTCGCCTGCACTCACCTGCACGCTGCAGCCCAAAGGTTGTATTTGCATCAGTCAAAGACCCCCAGGAGAGGGACGCAGCATCTTCCAAGCCTAGCTTTGCCTGGTGAAGCCAGCGCCCCAGGAAAGCTCCTGAAAACAGGAGCATTCAGGCTTCTGGAGAAAAGCCTCCCTGAGCAGCCAGGCCTGGTCTGCTTCTGCCAACCCTCTAGGCCCAGCTCACGCACTGTCCTCATGCCTAAGGCACTCCAGTCACTGGAACCTTCTTCCCACCTCTGTTCTTGCTCCCTTCCATGTCTGGGTCTTTGCTCAGGCGATTCCCACTATCCGGAACACTTTTCCCTTCTCTCTTAACCTGGGCAATGCCATCCTTGGCACTCAGCTATTTCCTCTTTAGCACCCCTGACCTCCCCACCATGTTGAATATCTCAGCCCCAAGCACCTCTCCCCCATCACTGCCAAGTTGGTCCTCATGTCCTCTCCCTTCTACCTGCCCCACATTCCCTGTCCTGGGTCCAGTCCTATGCTCTAGCCCATTCCTCCACAATCCAGCTCTTTCTAGCTGGCAACCAACACATTCACTTTATGAAATGTTTAGTTTTTTAAAAATCAATATGTCTTACATTCAGATAGCTGTTCAGTGTTAAGGCACACATTATAAAACATCCATTTAAAAAGACAGATTGAGGGCGGGAGTGGTGGCTCACCCCTGTAATCCCAGCACTTACGGAGGCCGAGGCGGGTGGATCACCTGATGTCAGGAGTTTACGACAAGCCTGACCAACATGGCAAAACCTCATCTCTACTAAAAATAGCAAAAATTAGCTGAGCGTGGTGGCACACAACTGTAATCCCAGCCCCTTGGGAAGCTGAGGCAAGAGAATCGCTTGAACCCAGGAGGCAGAGGTTACAGTGAGCCGAGATTACACCACTGCACTCCATCCTGGATGACAGAGTGTAACTCCATCTCAAATACATAAATAAATAAAAAGAGAGATGGGAAGCCATTAGAAAAAGATAGAAATCTATCGGGTTCCTGGACTGAATTTGCTACTGAGGTTGAATATCTAACCTACCTAAGGGCTTCCTAGCACCCAAGGCAAAAGGAGAAATATACTTTGTTATAATAGTTTGGCTCTAGGGGAACTTGTTTCTTTGAAATAACATATTTTTGCTTCCTCAGCTTGGAAGGGCTATACATAAAACAGCTGATATTGCAGTGAAGGCATCTGAGGAAATGGCTTTCTATTCTGCCTGCATTCCTGTCCCCTCTGGTAGTCTCCCTGTGCTCATCCCAACTAATTCCCAGGAATTCCTTCCCCTTCTCTGCTCCACCCTGGCCTACTTTCTCAGCTGTTTCCCTGACTCTGAGATCTCTGCAAAACCAAGTCTCGCTTCAGTGGAGGTGTTCACATTTGGGCCAGGTGACCCAAATGGTGGAGGAAACTGCAGTGGAGATTCATAAACTAAAACAGGGACTGGAATGGATAACTTTGCACATCTCATCCAGGTCCAGCCTTCAGGGTCTGTGAATCTGTACTGAGTAACTGAAATGCAACCCTACTCCCCACCGTAGTAATTCCAACTTCTGTATGGTTCCTCAGAAAAAAAAACAAAAAAAACAGTTGAGTTCAAATCCCACAACTTTAAAGCTGCCTTCTCTAGATTAGTGCCCACGTCCCACTCGGTTTCAGCTTCTTAACGCAGATAACTGCAAGGAATTGTGGGGTGCTTCATGATGGTACATGCCTAACGATTATTTATGTATATCCTTACTCTGTCACGAGCAGAAAGGCATTTGCAGCAGCTCATAAAAAACAAATAAACCAGAGCCAGGCGTGGTGGTACATGCCTGGAGCCCCAGATACCTAGGAGGCTGAGGCAGGAAAATGCCTTGTGCCCTGGAGTTTAAGATCAGCCTGGGCAACATAGTGAGACCCCCATCACTAAAAAAATTAAATTAAATTAAAAAATAAGAATCTTCTGGCTGGGTGCGGTGGCTGACACCTATAATCCCAGCACTTCAGGAGGCAGAGTAGGGCAGATCACTTGAGGTCAGAAGTTTGAAACTAGCCTGGCCAACGTGGTGAAACCCCATCTCTACTAAAAATACAAAAAAATTAGCCTGGCATGGTGGCACACGCACCTACTTGGGAGGCTGAGGCAGCAGAATCGCTTGAATCTGGGAGGCAGAGGTTGCAGTGAGCCAAGATCACGCCATTGCACTCAAGCCTGGGAGAAGGAGTGAGTCTCTGTCTCAATCAATCAATCAATAAGAATCTTCCTCAACATTCTTACAGCAAAATTAATGAGTTGATTAATTTTTTTTCCTTTATTTATTTATTTCTAAAGATGGTGTTTCACCACGATGGCCAGGCTGGTCTTGAACTCCTGACCTCAGGTGATCCACCCACCTTGGCCTCCCAAAGTTCTGGGATTACAGCCACTGCACCTGGCCGAGTTGATTAATTTAAATAAAACAAAACAACTGCACTTACCAGAAAGTTAAGATAATAGACAAGTTGTCTCATCCCAGCTCTCCCACTTGACGGCTGTGTGATCTTACGCAGTGGCTTCATCGCTCTAAGCCTCAGTTTCCTTGTCTGTAAAATGTGGTAATAGTAGTACCTATCCCCATTGGGCTATTGTAGAACTAAATATATGAATACAGAGGAGCACTTAGCGCAATGCCTGGCATACAGTACCTAGACAAGATATTTCAGCAGTTTTATTTATTTATTTATTTATTTATTTATTTGAGACGGAGTCTTGCTCTGTCGCCCAGGCTGAAGTACAGTGGCTCCATCTCGGCTCACTGCAACCTCCACCTCCTGGGTTGAAGCGATGCCCCTGCCTCAGCCTCCCTAGTAGCTGGGATTACAGGTGCCTGCCACCATGTCTGGCTAATTTCTGTATTTTCAGTAGAGAAGGGGTTTTACTATGTTGTCCAGGCTGGTCTTAAACTCCTCGCCACAGGTGATCCGCCTGCCTCGGCCTCTCAAAGTGCTGGGACTATAGGCGTGAGCCACCATGCCTGGCTGAAGTTTTTATTTTTATGATGATGATGTAATCTAGTGTTCTGTTTATAAAAAAGTAATCTGGGTAAAGCTGAACTGCTCCAAAGCCAGTCTCAGCCCCCTGTTGAATGAGAAACACTACTTTCTCCTCTGAAAAATAAAACTGCAAAACAATTTAAATCTTTATCCAATTCTTTTAAGAAGGTTAAGGCAGATATCATCCATAATCTCAATAAAACTTTCTCCAATTCCCTCCCTGCTGCTTTCTTTCTCTCTCTCTCTCCCTTACCCTCCTCCTGCCTGACGCCTCACCCTTTTTCAGTATCTCACAGCAGCCCCAAAATCTGCATCTGGATCCCCCAAACACTCCCTCAAAGCTCAGCCTGTGCTGGCTTTGACCTGCTTCACCCCCTGCTCCAGCCTCCCCCCATTGTTCCCACCTCTCAGCCTCTGTCCTTTCTCCTATAGCTTGTTTCTTTCTCCCCCTCCTCCACCCATTACCCCAGATCCACAGGATAAAGCCCAGGCTGCTGCTGCCTGACGCAGCAAGTTGCCTTCCTCAGAGTGGGCAGGGAGGAAGGGAGGCTGTGAAAACGTTCGTACTGTTTTTCCTCTCCCAAAATGGACATACATCTGTCCATTCAGCTAAATGCAGAATCACATCAAGAAGTCTGCAATGGTTAATATCTGAGGAATGAGATTATAGAGACTGTTTCTTCCCATTCTATTCATTTCTGTATTATCTATTTTGCTTTTTTCTTTTTTTTCTTTTTGAGTCAGGGTGTCATGCAGCAGTCTCAAACTCCTGGGCTCGAGCGATCCTCCCACCTCAGTCTCCCCAGTAGCTGGGATACAGGCTTGCACCACCATGTCCGACTAATTTTTTAAAAATATATTTAGTAGAGGCCAGGTGCGGTGGCTCATGCCTGTAATCCCAGAACTTTGGGATGCCGAGGCGAATGGATCACTTGAGGTTAAGAGTTTGACACTAGCCTGACCAACATCGTGAAACACTGTCTCTACTAAAAATACAAAAATTAGCTGGGTGTGGGTGGCAGGCGCCTGTAATCCCAGCTACTCGGGAGGCTGAGGCACAAGAACCGTTTGAATCCAGGAGGCAGAGGTTGTAGTGAGCTGAGATTGCACCATTGCACTCCAGCCTGGACAACAAGAGTGAAAATCTGTCTCAAAAAAAATGTGTGTGTTTGTGGTGTGTGTGTGTAGAGACAAGGTCTCACTATGTTGCCCAGGCTGGTGAACTCCTGGCCTGAAGCAATCCTCCTCCCTTGGACTCCCAAAGTGTAGAGATTACAGGCCTGAGCCATGGGGCCTGGTCCATATTGTTTGTTTTACAGGGACCACGTATTACATTTGAAATTTGAAAAAATAGAGATATATTTTATTTTTTTTATGTTTTCAAAATTAAGTAAGGAAATCAGGGCAGAGTGAAGACAGTAGAAAAAGTAAGGTGAAAGCAGGCATAAAGTAAGTATCCTGTCTATTCCATTGCTCTTGTATTTAAATCATGTAAAGTTCCCAGGATGGTGCCCACACAGACTTGATAACTAGCAGCTATTGTTGGAATTCCTGGGTCTCTGTCCTTCCCAGAAACTCAACTGCCCAGTTGAATCAGTAATTGGTGGCCCAAGGAGACACAAGAAAGGGGTCAGGTGGGATGGCCTGATCCTGTCTTTCACCAGGGGCCCAAGGCAGGGGGAGGGATCCTGCCCACCTCGCTGCAGGGTTGGATGAGTCAGGAAGAGCCTCATTGGGCCTAACTAGCTCTGCCTGCCTGCGCCCTGCTTCTGAGCATGGACTTCCCTCCCCTGCCAGCCTCTTCAGAGCTTCTTCTGCCGTCTTCGTGACTGTATCTTCTCAGACAGGCTGGTTTCTGTTTCTTGGAGAGTCAGGATTTCCCCCGGTGCCCAAAACAGTATTTCAGCTCAGTTATAGAAGACAAAACAACATTAAAAATTAAAAAGCTCTTAACAGCGAGTTTCATTCTGTCTGTGTGCCTGTGGGTCGCTCAGCGTGTCCAGCCTCTATCTGACTTGGCACATGGCATTACTCCAAAAGCAAAAAATCAGCCAAACCAAAGGGATTCTCTGGGCACCTACTATGGACCAGTCATTACCAAACATCTATCCTGTACAAGATGACAGAGGCAAAGCAGAGGAAGAATAATGCCAGTCATAGCCATGGCCATTTAACACCTGTGAATTGTCTCTCCACACATTCTAGGAGATTCCTTTTGGATCCTGGTAAATCCTAAGGCTAAATGGCTGGAAACCCACACCTAAACTACAATGCCAGGTATCTCCAGGGTCTCACTCCCTAGCTAATCAGAACCCTTGGCCACAGTGATTGGCAGAGGAATTGACACACGTCTCAGTGACAGTGGACGAGACTCAGTTTTGGGAATGTTATTAGAACTGTAGGAAAAAGTGAGTCCCTGTTTCTGTTGGGAGTTGATAAGACAGTAGGATGTGAGCCACTGCTGCTGGCTGTCACCTTATCATCACGAGTCCAAGAGATGAGGCCAACAGGGAGGGAGGCGGTCTTCAGAGATGGAGGAAATGAGACTGAATCCTAATGACATCATCTGAGCTCCTCTGGGAGCCATGCCTAAAGCTAGCTCTGCCCCTGTACTTTGCAGTTACACAGGCAAAGAAGTTCTTTCTTTTTGGCTCTGGCCAGTTCAGGTTGGCTTTCTGTGTTTGAGCCCTGATGCTCCAACTGGGCAGACCCTGTGCCCAGAGGCTTGAGTATTTGGAAGGGACGCCTCCCCACATCTCATCCAGTCTCCAGCAGTCTAACAAGGGAGAACTTCTCCTGTCATACAACCACCTGTGTCTGTCTGAGGGCATGGCGAGCCCACGAATGCCAACAGAAACAGCTGCACGACAGCAAAGGAGCAAAGCCCCTCAAACTAGCTGTGTCTCCTGGGGCAAATCACTTTTTCTCTCTGAACATTGATTTTCTCACCTGCAATATGGAGATGATGTGGGAATCATAGCATCAACCATATAGAATTGTCCGAATCAGTCAGATAATGCAGCAAAGCACCTACCACAGTGTCTGGCACATAGTGTTTCTTATGGCTGGCTGTTCCCAGAAAGCTGTTTAGAGGAGATGATCTCTGAGGATCCCTGAGGAGTTAAAGGTAAGGGTCAGAGTTGGCAGCAAACTTCACTTGCATGCTTTTGAGCAGCATAAGACCAGGGGCTGTGTTTTCAGGGGCAGCCTGGTAGAACGGAAAAAACTCAGCCATCACCTCAGGAGGCCTTGGTTGTAGTGCTGATTCTGCTGTCAAGCCAGGTAAGTGGCTTTGGAGTGGGTATGGGCATGCTGGCCCTCACTCCCTGCCCCCTCTTCCCACCCCATCACTTAATGTGCCCTTTTGGGGAGCAAGAAAGCCACAACCTGTCTCCTTTGCTTTCTTCATATAGCCATGGGGACCACACCTTGCTCAATGCTGTGTCCCCAATACTCAGCCCTGAGCTGATGGAGGATTCCAGAATGCCCATTTTATGAGTGATTAAAATGTGGTCATAATACCTATACCTGGCCTTCTGATCTTTTTTTTCTCTTTTTTTATTTTTTTTTTTTTTTTTGAGATGGAGTCTCATTCTGTCACCCAGGTTAGAGTGCAGTGGCTCAATCTTGGCTCACTGCAACCTCTGCCTCCCAAGTTCAAGTGACTCTCTTGCCTCAGCCTCCAAAGTAGCTGGGTTTATAGGCACGTGCCACCCTGCACAGCTGATTTTTTGTATTTTTATTACAGATGGGGTTTTGCCATGTTGGCCAGGCTGGTCTTGAACTCCTGACCTCAAGTGATCTGCCACCAAGACCAGCCTTTTTTTTTTTTTTTTTGAAATGGAGTCTCACTCTGCTGCCCAGGCTGGGGTACAGTGGCGTGATCTCGGTTCACTGCAACCTTCGCCTCCCCAGTCCAAGTGATTTTCCTGCCTCAGCATCCTGAGTAGCTGGGATTACAGGTGCCTGTCACCACGCCCGCTAAGTTTTTTGTATTTTTAGTAGAGACAAGTTTCGCCACGTTGGCCATGCTGGACTCAAACTCCTGACCTCAGGTGATCCAACCGCCTTAGCCTCTCAAAGTGCTGGGATTACAGGCATGAGCCACTGGATCTGGCCCTTTTTTCTTCTGGAGACTTCTTGTTGGAGAGTAACAGAGACAGAAAAGCACACAGATCGTAAGGAGCCTTCTCAATGATTTTTTCCCAGCTGAACTACCCGCTTCTCTGTACCTAACCCTTACTAGCATCCAGAAGCTTCCCTGGTACCCTTTCCAGTCATTCCCTCCCCAAAGATAACACAAACCTCACTTCTGACAGCACAGGTTAATTTTGCTTATTTTTGAACTTTATGTAAACGGAGCAATGCTTAAAGACCTTCTGGTGGTTTGTGAGTTACAAAGAGCCTACAATGTACATTAACTCCTTAAATCTTCACATCAGTACAGTGAGGTGGGCAGGAATTATGAACCCCGTTTCACAGAGGAGAAAACGGGGGCTCAGAGAGAAGAGAATCCTCTATAATCACATTGCTGGCAAGTGGAGAGCCTGAATAAGTGGGTTTCATTTTTGTGTGTGCCTGGGTCTCCAAGGTCTCTCCAGGCATCAGCGCATGATTCTCAGGAAGACACTTGGAGACTGGCCAGGAATCGTGCACCAGACCAGGGCAGCTGATGGTTTAAGTTACCCAGCCTGGAGGGGAGCTCTGGACCTTCAGGTCTGGTCACCTTTTGAACATGGCCAGACCCTCCCCTCTACACCATGCTCCCAGCTGCTGCAGGCAAGGAGCTTTTCCACCTCCACACGGAAGAATTTGGAATGCTGCCAGAAGGAGGGAGCAATGCAGAGATTTCCACAGAGCCCCTCCCGGCCCTCCAGGTTCCCACACAAACTGCCCAGGAGCAGATGGTCCCCTTTGGAACTGACTGTGTGCCTAGACCTTCTCTCCCTGACACATCCAGGGCCGCTCTGGGTCAGCACCTGGGCAGGGGTTGCAGCCAGCTGCTCTCCTCTTCCCTCCTGCCAATAATTTCTCTTTCCAGATTCACCCCCATCACCAACCATTACAGCCCCCTCACCTCTGTTGGCTGGTAGGCAGGATTCCCGGTGTCTTTCCTTCTGGCCTCATGAACATTCTGTCTGGCCTCATGAACTCTCAGACATCCTTCAAAGACCAAAGCCCAATGCCACCAGGATGTCTTTGTCTGTCCTGAATATACACTCATTATGTCCCCTACAAATTAGTTCCTCTTTCTCAGCACAATCCAAATATAATGATCACAAAAGTCACACAACAGTCACCTACAAAAAACCACAGTTTCACCACACATGCAATGTTTTTATCTTGATGTCTCTTGCACACTGGGTGACACACAAAGTTGTACCAAATCGCAGCCATGTCCTGCTTTTGTGTGGGCACATACAACACATACAAACTACACTACAAAACCCCAGGATTTTTTCTCAACTTGTTTACAACAGGGACACCACGTTTCTTTCTACCACATTACCATGCATGCACAACAGGACCCAAATGTGCAGACCACACATCACACACACACACAGGCAGGCGTTACCACACGTCACACACACACACACACTGTTCCTGTCTCCTTCCCTTGTCTTACAAAACCTACGTGAGACAATGTCTCTCCTGGATCTGCAAATGCCCACGCCTGGAGAGCCGCGGCCCCTTTTCTCTGCTTTCCCACCATTCCCTCCCTCACCCCTCTGTCAGGCACGCACGGGGACACACATACACAGCAACGAACCCCAAATATAGCAGACACACACACACAACAACAACAACAAACCCCAAATATAGTCAGGGCTTTCCTTCTCACATAAAGACACGGGCACGCGGAATCCACCCCTCCCCCCGTTTCTGGCTCCTCTTCTCCTCCCTCTTCCTCTCATACTCTACAGTCACAGACACACACACACACACACACACACACACACACACGCAGCTGCAGCGCCCTGGGTCACACTCCAGTGCAAGAGTCAGGCAAGAGACAAAGGTCGCCGAGGCTCCCGGCATCCCGCACCCGACACAGTCAAGCCTCTTCCCGGTTCCGCCTGCCTCTAACGCCGGTCTCGGCAAGGTCCGGACCGTGCGCCCCGAAGCCACAGCTCCCGCCCGCGCTGGCCCTCCGGGTCCCGGCACGGCCCGGGCAGCCGGCTCCCGGGGCGCCAAGGGTTAAGTGCCCGCTCGGGCGCGGGGAGTGCGGTCTCCGGGAGTGATTGGTTGCGCAGCCCGGGCCCCGCCCCCCGCCCCCTGCCATTGGCCCCGCGGCGGGCCCGCCCCTCCGGGGCTCGGCGCCGATGCCGCGAGCTCGCCCGCAGGAGCCGAGCGCGCCGCCGGGGCCAGACTGCCGAGCCGTCCGAGCAGCGGGGCTGGCAGCCGGGAGCCCGGAGCTGGGAATCTGGAGCCGGGCGCTGGGAGCGGCGCGGGGCCGTGGCGGAGCACGCGAGCTATGGTGAGTGCAGCGCCCGGGGGTCCGGTCCGGTCCAGCCCAGCCTCGACGGTCCCAGGCAGCGGCGCCGCGGGTGTCACCCCGGGCCCCCCTGGCTCGCTGGGGGCTGGGCAGCGGCAGCCCCCGCCCGGCTCTCGAAAGGCCTGGAGTCGGGGGGCGCCTGGGCAGAGCGCGGCTCTCCGGGCGGTGCTGTGCTTGCCCCACTGGGGACGGCCGCGCCGAGCTTGGTTCAGGTCCCGGCCAGATGTGGAGGACTCGGGGTGCCCGGTTCGCTTTGGGGACGGTTTCTGCGGTCTGGCTTGGGTTGTCCTGAAGTCCCTGGTTTCGGCTTGGCTTGGAGACCCAGGGAAGCCTGGCCGGGCTCGCGGGAGGCGACGATTCTGAGGTGCTTGGATGCAGCTGGACCTGAGTGTCCCGGGACACTGAGGTCGGTCTGGGGCTCGCCTTGGGGCACCGTGGGTGGCCATCCCCGGCGCTTTCGGAGGGCTCAGTTGCGGCCCTCTGGGACTGCCGATCCCGCTGTGGCCTAAGGGATGTAGGTGCTGGCGTGGCAGCCAGGTCGGTGCTGTTAGAGACCAGGGGACACTCAGGGACTCTGCACCCAGCGATTCGGTCTCCCCAGCATCTCCCGGTGATGGGTCCTCAGAGGAGGGCTTGCTGAGGCCAAGTGCTGTCCGCGATGGGCAGGGGGCACCAGTGAGAAGGGGAGCTGGGGAGGGGCGTTTCATGGGGATCTCTGAAGCCCCAGAAGAGAAATCCGTTTGATCCAGGCTGGGCTCCCTGGGAGGCTATTGGGAGGAGCATTGTCTCTGGACCCCAAGAGCAAAGGCCCTTCGTCCACTTGTCCAGGGCTGGGTGCTGGCCTCTCCATCACGGGAAGGGAGCCATCTACTTCTCTTTGGCTTATTTCGGGCCACTCTGATTCCCTCTCCTACTTCTGTTCTGTGCCCTGTAAAGTGGGTCCAAGTCACCATGGAGGACTGAGGAGGGACGGTGACTGCCAGTACTTGGATGCAACCACCTCCACTTCTTTGTCACGCTCCTGCCAAGCCCTAGGGCGCCTGGATGGGAGCAGGACAGGACCTCCTGTAAAGCTGGAGTCCCACAGTGGCTCCCCAGGACCAATCCCTGCTCTGCCCAGAGCTGGAGTCCCCTTACAATCCCCTCCATCTCTCCCCTTCCAGGCCCCTCTCTTCTCACCCAGCTAGGTAGGGTTTTCCTCCCTTAGGCATCACCAGTTGCCTCACTAGAGTCAGAAGTAGTGGAATTATGGGTTAAGTCTTTTTTTTTTTTTTTTTTTAGACGGAGCTTTGCTCTCTCTCCAGGCTGGAGTGCAGTGGCAATCTTGGCTCACTGCAACCTCCGCCTCCTGGGTTCAAGCGATTCTTCCACCTTAGACTCCGGAGTAGCTGGGACCACAGGCACGTACCACTAGGCCCGGCTAATTTCTGTATTTTTAGTAGAGATGGGGTTTCACCATGTTGGCCCGGATGATGGATCTCGGTCTCTTGACTTCGTGATCCACCCACCTCAGCCTCCCAAAGTGCTGGGATTACAGGCGTGAGCCACTGTGCCCGGCTGAATTATGGGTTAATTCTATAACTTAAGGTGCTTAGAGACCATCTGGGACTCAACCTACCTCCTCTGTTAGGGATCTCGCCTCCAATGCCCCACCCCGATGGTTTCCATGACAGGACCATGGACCAGCACTGAATTTAAAGTCTCAGTGTATGGGCACTAAAAGGCAGCGAGACTTTGAGGTTGTATGATCCCCTCTGCCTCTAAGCCCACCCTAAGTTACTCATAAAGAAAATTTTTTCTTCCTTAAAAACCACCAAAAAAACAAAGAGGTCCCCCCACTCTTCCTTGGTGACACTTTATAGATCCTTATAACCTAGGAAGCCCACCAGCCCATTGGGAAGACCCCAGGCTTTGTCATCAAACCGATTTGTGTTTGAACCCCATCCCCCCCACTTCCCCACAGGGGCTTTGGTCCGGTGGCAGCATCAGCTTTGAGTTTCAGTAAGAGAGCTTTTTGCCTGAATACAGCTTAGTTTCCTTTCTTTCTGTTTGAGATGGAGTCTTGCTCTGTCGCCAGGCTGGAGTGCAGTGGCGCAATCTCAGCTCACTGCAACCTCCGCCTCCCCAGTTCAAGTGATTCTCCTGCCTCAGCCTCCCTAGTAGCTGGGACTACAGGCGCGTGCCGCCATGCCCTGCTAATTTTTGTATTTTTAGTAGTGATGGGATTTCACCATGTTGGCCAGGATGGTCTCGATCTTTTGACCTCGTGATCCACCTGCCTCGGCCTCCCAAAGTGCTGGGATTACAGGCACGAGCCACTGTGCCTAGCGTAGTTTCCTTTCTTTTCCAAAGTTGGGCCAACACTGGGAAGTTCTACCTAATATCTAAAACCTATTTGCTGGGGTTGTCTCTGGAATCCAAGAACAAAGGCCCTTCATCCACCTGTCCAGGGCCAGGTGCTGGTCTTTCCAGCACAGGGACGGAGGCCACCTATTTGCTCACCTGGAAGAAGGATGAAAGTTTATCATGTTGTAGGGAGGAGACCGTGATACTTTCATCTATCACTCAGCCAGGATGCATTGAACACTTACTGTAAACTAAACCCCGTGTGAAGGAGGAAGGAACTGACCGAATAAACATTGTTAAGGGAGCTTCCACCAGGCCATAAATGTCTGCACTGGTCCTCAGGCTAGCTGGCACACCCTTGGAGAGGCAGAAATATGCCGGGTGGGGGCTCTCTCCAGGTTGGAGAGATGAGAGAAAGCTTCATAGAGCAGGTGACATCTGAACTGGAAGGGATGTCCCAGGAGGGGGACCCGTGTGACAGAGGACCAGAGTATGAGCGCACAGGACAGGCTCCTGGAAAGGCTGGAGTAGGGCTGGCCTGGCACCTGGCTATGAAAGGGCCAGGAAAGAGAAGAGAAAGAGGGGAAAAAGGTTGTTGGGGCCAGAGAGTCCAAGGCTGAGGAAGTCCACAGTACATTGTTACGGGCAGGGTGTACATGGGGTGGAGGCTGATGTCAGGCCTCCCTGGCCCCTGTCATTTTAATTTCCTCTAAACATTGGTTCCTGTGCTGTCATTCCTGAGGCAGGGGTGATTTGGGGCTGTTTATTCCCTGGATCTCCTGCTCCGTGGCTTTTAAACAAATCCAGCACTCCCTCCTTTGCAGTGTGACCAAGTTGTTCCTGGCCCCTGGGTTCCTAATGAGACATGTTTGCAGAGCGTGTGTGTGTGTGTGTGTGTGTGTGTGTGTGTGTGTGTGTGTGTGTG